ACGAGAGACTCAGTCATGAGTCGAACTCAAACCCTATCTAGGATCGAGTCGCGAATAAGGCTAAGAGCCGTGTATTGCAGGAACATGGATTCCATTCGTCTTCAGGCGGGAGATGAGATCGGTGATACCCTGTAGAATTTCATCAAACGTCGTCTGATTATGTCTTGCCGCATCAAGCTCATTTTTATGGCTGTTCCATTTGTCTGACAACTGCAAAACTTGCTCGTTTATTGGTTCAAATGATTCAGGAACCTTGATGCCTTGAAAATCCTTCTTCGCCTCTTCCACTATCTCATCGAGGGAGTTGGTTGCTTTTTCGACCAAGAATTCCTTTATGGTGGACGCCAAATCAATAATCTTAGCCTTGAAATCTGAAGTGCTTGATTCGCGCGTGTGCAAGTCGGCTTAAGCGAGGGTCATCTCTGCTAAGCCGTCTCCTACAATTTTGAGATCAGTTGTACTGCAAACAGAAATGTTTTCTGGCTTGAGGTGCATTTTGCTGGTAATTTGCGCTTCGGCCCTCTCTGGCGGTTTTTGCAGAAGGTCCATCCACCCAAAGATCTTTCCCCTGCGGTCCTGCGCCTGGAAGATTTTCGCCACAAAAGATGGCAACCCAGTACGGTTTACCGTCCCAAACCAACATATCGCCGCTTGTCATTATTGGGTAGATTATCCAGTTGCAGCCACCGTCGTAGTAATCATCGTGTGGGTTCGGGACAAATAGGATGTTTCGATCGTTGCTTCTCATCCCTTTCCCTGCTGTCCCCCCCTTGGTACCGTTGGCCAACATCAACAAGGATTTATGAAGACGGTCTTCCAATGCTTTCTTCTTGTCAGAATCTTTTTCGGCGCTGATCTCATTGACAAGCGCGTCGAGCTCGGCAAGATTGCCGATCATCCAAACATACACGAGAGCCCACCACCCCGAGCAATTCTTGCTGCCCGATCCTTGGTGTCCTCTGTGGCCGGGTAGGCCTTCCACAAGGCAGGCCGTGGGGTCCCCGTCTGCCTTAGCTTCCGTTCGGATGCTGACGCTGGCGACGCTGGCGGCAACCGAACCATCGTCCGGTAGAGATTGGTTCTCGGCATCCGCCAAATGCCTCTTGAACCCATTTCTTTGCTCATTGTAATCCTCAAGTTGAGCCTCACGCTGAAACTTATCAGCCATGCCTTGAATATCTTTGATGATCTTAGGTAAGGCGTCTCCTTTCGGAAAGATATCGGACGTTTTGGCAAAATAATCACCAGCCCCCAACTCTTCCACCAATTTATCCTTTGCACCCATAGCAGCAAAAACGTCATCAGCATTACCAGTCTGCTGACTCTTGAGATTCTCAAGTCTTTCCAATACCACGGCAAACCGATCTTTGGTGTCGTGTCGGTCCTGATCGGTCGTAGCCATGCTTTTCCCTGTGCTGCTGCTGCTTCTGCTGCTGCCGCTCCTGCGGTTTTATTCGTGACGAATCAAACGTCTGTCCTACGTACAACTCGCTGTTTTCGATGCGCGCACTCCAGCACGTCTGGGACGCTCTAAAACGGGAGTAATCTATTTTAAAGTTCGCTCACGCATGTCAACCCTTGTGGAATTTTTTTTAAGCTAGTACTATAAAGGTTGAGCCCCCGCAGGACCGTCCGACGGTTTTCACACAGGATTTAAAAAATCTTGAAATTGCCACGACTGACTGACCGTTTAAAACAATCACTTAAACAATCCCTTAACTCATCAACTATCCCTTAAACAATCCCTTAAAGAAACAATCCCTTAAAACAATCTCTTAAATCTTGGACTATCCCGTAAACAATCCCTTAACGCCAAATGGTGATACTATACAACTATCCCCTATTTCTTCAATTATCCCCTAAACAATCCCTTAAATAAACAATCCCTTAACAATAATCCCTTAAATCTTTGACTATCCCTTAAGGAGGTACCACGCGCTTTTACTCCCGAGTTTGTTTTGGTCAGTCCACAGTCGATACGTAAAATAGACATCCATGTTGAAGTGTACTCCATGGCCACGTACTTTCCCTCATGCGATTGTAGCTAGTTTGCCGCCAGATGGAATCTTTCTTTTTGGGAATTCTTTATTTTAGCTGGCGACCATGGCCAATTTGTTCTCCATAAAGTAAACAACGGCAAGATATGAATGTTGCATCAGGAGAGGAAGGAACTGAAACCTCTACAGACAACCCACAGATTGTAACTCCGGCAGTGGTAGGAGGAGATGATTCAACTCCGGTATTGAGAGAAAGTCGCCGTCAGAGAGGAGTTACACCAATTTTGCCTTGTTTTGCCATCAGCGAGAACAAGGCAACAAGCAACTATCAGAGAGAAATCAACAAGTTAGCGGCAGGCAACAGGAAGGACATTACATCGAAGTTGCCTCGCTGGGACCATTCCAAGTTGAACATGGGAGCACCGAAGAGGAGGGAACAGCCTCAACCAACTCCCTCTCCAATAATCGACAATGTAGCCACTGCCCTTTCTCCACTTGCTGTTCCGGACGATGACAACAGAAAGAGGCCACCAACACCTCGATGACTCATCCTGGAACACAAAGGATTATCTGAGTTAGTCAATGGCCACACCCGATGCTATACATGCCGACAAGCTAGTGTCGAACTTACATTCAATACCACCTGTGTCACATCCATGGGCCAGTTGAGCTGTGGTAACAAAGAATGCAAGTCTTATGGCCAGTTGAAGTGTTCCGAAGTGTCACGAACCACTCTTCCGAAGAAGTCCGCACATGTCACCAACCTTGACTACTCATTGAACGTGCAGTTTGTGTTAGCCTTTGTGTGGTCGGGTGATGGAGGAGTGGAAGCACAGCGAACACTTGCAATGTTGAACTTACCCAATTACACAACCATGTCGAAGAAGTCATTCTCTAGCATTGAACTTGCCCTTGCACCTCATATCAATGCTGTTTGCCACAAGGCCATCGTGGACAATCTGGTGGAAGAAGTGAGAAGGAGTCATCACGCTGAGTTATTCAACTTTGTGGAATGGGAAGTTTCAGTTAGGAAGGGAGAACGTCCAACTCACAGAGCAACAGTCAATGGTGGTATGGACATGGGTTGGAACCAAAAGGGTAGTGGCCGGGCATACAATTCCCCTTCCGGTCATGCGAGTGTCATGGGCGCACTTACTGGAAAGCCTCTTGTTATCTGCCAGAGATCAAAGTTTTGTCGAAAGTGTCAATACCATCTCAGCCGTGGACTCGCAGTTCCAGAACACGATTGCATGAGCAACTATGAGGGTAGCTCAGGTGGGATGGAGCCTGCTTCTTTGCTGATCATGGTGGAGGAATTGTATGACTTGTACAACGTGGAGTTGGATAGGATCTGCACAGACGACGATTCCACGATGAAGGCTCATTGTAAATGGAGCAACAAAGATTGGTTGCAACACAATAAACTCGACAAACTCCCAGTACTTGGATTGACCAAGAATGGAAAACCGAAGACCAGGTCAGAAGGGTATCTTCGTTATCCAATTCGCCGACCACTGTTCGTTGCAGATCCTGCTCATCGGAAAAAGACATACCGAAACCATCTGTACGCGATGAAGGCAAAGGGTGTTAAAGCAAGTTTCGATTTGACATCTGGTGATATCCTCAGGTTGACCACTTACTACGTCTACTTCCTGAAGAAGCTGCCGGATTTACCGAGAGAAGAATGGTCTACTGCAATCAAGGCTGTACTGGAACATACTTTCGACAACCATGAATTCTGCGGTGACTTCTGTTTGCGGAAGGACATGACACAGGTAGAGAAGGATGAGTGTGGAAAAGTGTACAGGAGCAAAACGAAAGACAAAGCCCTGTACGAATCACTGGTCGAACCTTTCAATCAATTCACCACCATGGAGAGGCTTGATGAATCCAACCACAGAATGACAACCAATGCGAATGAGTCACTCAACAACACTATTGCCTGGTTGGCTCCGAAGAACAAAGTGTATGCCGGTTCTTTGTGACTCCAGAACCGAGTTTGCATTGCCGTCGGAATCACATTGCTTGGAGTGGAAGAGTTCTTTCGTCGACTGTTTGACACCATCGGCCTGGAAATGGAAGAAGGAACGGCCTATTTTCTGGCACAACAAGAGGAATATCGGAAAAAAAGAATAAGTGCAATACACGGCTCTTAGCCTTATTCGCGACTCGATCCTAGATAGGGTTTGAGTTCGACTCATGACTGAGTCTCTCGTGAATAGTCATTTGAGACAGGGTTCTCAATGACCGCTCTAGTCATACTAGGTTGATGATGAAACATCGCTCTAGATATTTAGCCAGCGTGGAGTACTTCCACGCTACTAGATCCATGCTAGTAGACGAATCTTCCACGCGTTCCGTTTTAGGATCGTGGAGATACGTAGGATTACTACCGCAACCTACTCTATCACACTTTATAGTCTCCCGCGGGAGACCAGATCTACGATCCCTTGATGATGATCTCTCTCGTTGATTAGTTTTCATAGCTTTCTAATCTCTCTCATAACTTTCATTCTCTCAAACTCAAAACACTCGAAAGATCTTTACACTAGCTTTTAGCATAGTGCATTTTGTTAACAAACACAATAGCTTTCAGCTACCCTCAACCTATTCCTTCACCATGAAGATGGCTCAAGGAAAGCATGCGTTCAGCAACTTCAATAACCAGTTGCGTGACAAACCCATTCTTCCTCCCGTCGACAATGACGAAGACACCGAGATCGACGATACTCGTGCAACCACCTGCAACCTTCGCAACCATGTTGCCAAGTGCAAATCAGAAGACTCTGATAACGAGGACAACTCCTCTATCAATTTCAATCACTTGGATGGAGAAATCTCTATCTGAGGATTAGGCCAGGATGATGACTCAACGGAACCATGTTCCGATTTCTCATACCAAAGTGATGAAGATATCTCACTAATTAGTAAACAAGAATTGTTTGCAACCGATGAACTCTACGGCAAATTAGATGATTGCCTAGAAGCTGCTCAACTAGACTCTGATGATCTATTTAGCATCGTTTACCTCGTCCGTGGCCAACCACCTCGTAAACGTCGCAAGACAAGAGACCTCAAACCTATCGTCTATGTTAGATTTAACAAGCGAGAAAAAGGGAAACCAAAACCCGTTACACTCCGTTGCTTACTGGATACAGGAGCATCCGGAACCTTGATTGCTCAAACTCATGCTAAGAAATTACGCATGAAGGATCTTGGGGCGTCCAAACAATGTGGACTACCCCTGCAGGAGAATTAAACACCAGCACGAAGTGCAAAGGTGCATTCATGATTCCTGAATTCCACGATGATAGAATTATCGAATGGGATTTACACGTCACCAAGAGCTTGGGGGCGTATGACATGATCATAGGTCGAGACATTCTCTCCGACTTAGGATTTAAGTTCGATTTCACTACCATGTCAGTGGAGTGGGACGGCATAAATTCCTATGAAAGATAGCACACCAATGAAGAAGAGAATTCTTCATTCCTGATCTATGCGTTGATGACAGTGCAGATCGTCTCAAGAAGATTCTTGATGCGAAATTGCGACGGGATACAGCTTACAATTCAGCTTTACAGCTTTACAATTAGCAGGCTTATTCTAGAAAATAATCAATAACTGCTCACTTATTTGGAAATACAAACTTTACATCTCTTAGATCGTTAGATAATCAATCCACAATGGTTATTGTCGCATGGTAGCATGCTGAGGTTATGAGATGTTACTCATTCTTATTCTTATATGTCTATCCCTTATGGTTGTCAATGGAATGAGCTACTCCTGATGCAGATTGCTCCAGAGTTTCCTCTTGCACTCTTCATGTGTAGTCCTTCCCCTTATTCAACTTAATTCCCTTGGATCGCTCGAAGCAATCCTCCTCTTGTTGGTTGATTCGTCGTAACAATCGCAACCCATTTCATCCTGTGTTATACGATGGACTCCTACAGGAGTCCACCTTTTATCCTGTCGTCGATCGAAATCGCGATGAGGATCCTATTATCTCGATCGCGGCAGCAGCCACTACTGGTACTGCACGTTCGACTGCAACTGTTACTACTACTGTTATCTCTATCACCGGTAGAGCCTTGCCTCATCCTCATCTCCGTCGCGATCGATCGATCCGAGTTAACAGAGTTAACAGAATTCATCGAAAATGAGCTCCTACTGCGCATATAGGGCTCGGCTTGTGTGTCATGCCTTGAGTCATGCTTCGGGAGCCATTTCACCCTCTATTATCGTTGGAATTGGTTGAGTCATGCTTGGGTTATGTCTTCTTCGAAACCTCCTCACTTTTTCGTTTCAAATCGAATGTACGTGAAGAACAACACACACGAGCGATCGATCGGCAGTGGTGTTCACGCGAGCGATGGGACGGAGCAACAACAGCAACAACAACAAC